GACCTCGCTCGTCCAGCACCTGACTGGCCCCAAACGATGGGATTTGCCAGACCAGGGAAGGTCCCTCACCTCCTGGCCTGTGCTGCCACTGGGCTAGGGCTCCAGCCTGCCTCTGCTGCTGCCCCAGCCCCCGGAGCTCTCTAGATGTCGCTGGCCCTGCTGCTGCCTGAGTGCCACAGCCAGACTTGCGCAGCCGGGGGCATAGCTCAGCAGCCGCCTGACTCTGCAGCTGGGGCTGCACAGCCAGGGCTGGGGCAGAGATCTGGGGCTGGAACTCTGTGGCCAGGGACAGAACTCCCTGCTGTGCCCCCTGTGCCCCTCCCCACACACAAACTGGGTAGCCGGTGTCCCCTAATGCGCTCCTGTCACCACTGCCACACCTCCTTGGCTCTGTGGTCCAGGAACAGCCATGGTCCGTGCCAGACCACAGATGTTGCTGGATCAGGGAGTCCCAGTTAAGGGAAGTACATGTACTCATGCAAATAGTTTTTAGGTCTGGTCAAAAGCAATATCAACTCCTCGACTGTGTCTAGACTGGAGGCATGATTTTCCGGAAAAACTTGCCAGCTGTCTACACTGGCCGCTTGAATTTCCGCAAAAGCACTGACTTCCTACTGTAAGAAATCAGTGCTTCTTGTGGAAATACTATGCTGCTCCCGTTCAGGCAAAAGTCCCTTTTGCACAAAGGTTTTGCACAAAAGGGCCAGTGTAGACAGCTGAGATTTGTTTTCCACAAAAAAGCCCCGATCGCAAAAATGGCAATCGGGGCTTTTTTGCAGAAAAGCGCATCTAGATTGGCACGGACGCTTTTCCGCAAAAAAGCGCTTTTGCGGAAAAGCGCCAGTGCCAATCTAGACGCTCTGTTCCGAAAATGCTTTTAACGGAAAACTTTTCCATTAAAAGCATTTCCGGAAAATCATGCCAGTCTAGACACAGCCCTGAAGTTAAGAATATTGGTCTCATTTCTTACCTACAGTATCATGTTTCTTTATAGATGTGGTGAAGCTGTGACAAGATTTTTCATGCCTCCCTTAAAGGGCCCTGCTCAGACTCCGCCAAAACTTTTCTCCCTTAAGCATTTGATGGAAACACTCATAGCTGAGCATATGAGCAAACATCTCCTTCTGTGCCCAGTTTATTTCTATAGATGTGCAAGGGCTGGAAGTTTCACTTCTTGAAGTAGTGCAGTTTCAAGTCCTCACTTTGAACCCAATCTGAAGCCCACTGAAGCCAACAGGAAACTTCTTGTTCACTTTACTGGGCATTATTCAGATGCTGTAACACACCACCTGAATGGTTACTTCTCTAGTTGTATCACACTATGTCAACATGCCTGCACTGGCCAATGGGAGCTTCAGAGTAAGCACTCGGAGCAGGGACAGTGCATAAAGACCTCCTGCCCTCCCTTAAGCCACAAAGACAATGTTGGCTGCTTCCAGAAATGGAGTGGAACAAGTAGGCAGGGAACCCGTCTTAGCCCCCTGTTGCACCACTAGAAAGTCACAATACTATCACCCTTACTTCAGAGCTTTGTGGCAAGAGAGCAGCAGCTGTTGGTTGAGCATCTGGCTCAGAAGGCAGCACTTTAGCAGCAGCAGTGCAGAAGTAAGGGTGGCTATACCATACCATGCCATCATTACTTCTGTGCTGCTGCTGATGGCAGCTCTACCTTCAAGGCTGGGCTCCTGGCTAGCAAGTGCCACACAAAAGTAAGGGTAGCAGTACCACAAACCCTCATACAATGATCTTGTGACCTGCCACAATTCCTTTTGGGGACAGGGCCCCTACCATTACAACACAGTGAAATGTCAGAATTAAAATCTAAAATCATGAAATGTATGACCATGACACTGACCAAAATGGACCATGAATTTGGTAAGACCCTATTTAAGACATTTGGTGTTGTTTCAAAATGTCCTCTATCTGGAATCATGAGACTAGGTGAATCTCTCATATTTTCATTTTTTTTTTAAATGAGAGCTGGAACATGGAAACCCTAAAGGGTCAAAACCCAAGACGCAAATAAATAGGATCCAGAATTTGTTTTTTAAAATCACATGGTTTTTAATCCAAATTTATTATTGAGGAAGGGTCTCACTCATACTTGTTATTGCTTGAGTCTACCACTGCTAAATCAGGGATAAGTTAACACAACAGGGGTAAGTTTCTCTCAGAAACTCTCACCATGGCCTTAGCCAACAAGCAGTTATAGGAATCAGAAAGGGTCTGACTGCAACTTTTGCCATGAGAATGCACACTCACAAATGGATTGTGTCCAAGACTGCAGTGGTGTCCCACAATTACACACCAATACATGGAATGTTACTACTGGCATGGGGTTAGGGTTTTTTTGGTATCTATTCCCCAGCCTCCCTGGCCACTTTCTCGTGTCAGGAGGAGAGAGGTACATCTCTGGCACAACTTCTGCGCTCCAAAGAGCAGCAATGTGGGAAGCCTAATGCAGGTTGTAGAAGGAAAGGGCATGTGAGGGTGAAGTGCCTACTTCCTTCTGTTCCCTTGTGAGGCAGCATAGGACCAGAGCAATATCTGGCCCAAAATAACCTGTTGTTGAACAATAAATACATTCAAATAAATGACAAACAGAAAGAGATGCTGAACTCTCCAGTGCCCTATTTACTGGGATGTGTACACTCAGCTCTATTCATAACCATAGATCACAACTATTCACACTTTTCGGCATGTTGAGGGCCTCTCTGGACTTTGGTAAGGAGAACTCCCTCCTGCTCAGCAGTCTGGAATTCAGACTGCATTAGAGCTATGCACTGCTCTTTGGAGTGTTTCTCTTTTTCTCTGGTAAAGGTTTCATGTGGACTGGTAAAAAAATCTTTGGATGCTCTCTCTTTTCAGAATCAGGAGCAAAGACTGAAAACACAGTCTAAAAACTGCAGTCTAAACAAAACAGACTTATAGGAGTGTTGCCTTCTTGAGATGCAGATCAGCTTCTGATCTTTTACCCAGTCCTAACCCAATGCTCTTAGATTGCTCCAGTGGGCTCCCTGAAAGGCCGACACGGTTCCCCTGTTTCATGTTCCAGCTGGTTAGTCCTTAACTCCCTATCCTGGAGCCCTGACCTGCAGCCCCACCTGCAGCTTTCTAACCACTATCTAGCTCCTGCCTCTCCTAACACCACCTGGACAGCTAGTATACCTTACCATATACCATATGACAAAATTCCTACCCTTGCACAGAAGTGTATATTTATTGCACTCCTGGAAATATGGTTTGGACAGATACTGCTACAGACAGAGCAGAGCAAATAATGAAAATATTTATTAAGAAGATCCCCTGATTAAACCATTCAATGAATATGTTCATGAATTATTCACCCACTCTATAATTCGAGCAAATAATGAGCAAAATATCTGAATAATTTATTTGAATATTATTATAAAATTAATCAAATAAATTATTCAAAATTGCTCAACCACTTCCAGCTATATCCAGGCAAAAGGTAACTAGACCACATTGCAGGTTTCTTGTAGGTGTATTTTATTCTTCATTTGAAAATTTCATAACGTTCATAATGTTCCAAATCCAGTCTGCTGCAATTGGATGCCGGCATACATACCACTTTTCATCTAAGATAATATGAAATTGGCCTTAATTGATACTTGACACTCCTGAGTACTGTATGACTAGAACAAGTACCTGGCCTCCAGAAACCAAAAGTCTCACTTTTTTGGGGACAAATTCAGTTTTCATCATACCTATGAGTGAGATTCACAGTATAGATAGGTTTGTTAATACATGTTGAACATCTCTATCCCAGAACTCTCTGGTCTGGAAACATCCATTGTTGGGAACGATTTTTGTTAGCCAGATGCCCACTTGTCATGGCGGTGGCCAAATTTCCCATAGTCTATCAAGTTTGTTTACAGCCAGCAGTCCTAGTTCTCAGTATTCTGTGCTGTTATTTAGCTCTACTTTACACCTAACTGTCTTTTAACAACCCAGTAAGCAGTGGAAGTGTTGGTAATGCTGTCACACAATATAGACCTCCTGCAGTCTGGAAAATTCTCTAGTTTGGAACTGGTCAGGGTGCTAGACTAGAGAGGTTTAACCTATATAGGCTTCTCTAAGGCACAATTCTGGAACTCCTGATTGCAGTAAGCAGACAGTCTTTAAAAACATACATTTTCCTTTTTGATATTCTGTATAATACAAGTTTATGGCAAGTTGTCAGTTGGATTCAGTTTTAGCACCTAGACACTGTAGTGATGTGTTCTTTAAAGCTGCTTAAAATAGATTAGATAGACTTAGTGATTACATAGCCTTTAAAATTATAGTGAAAGCACTAGAGCTTCTCTAAATTATGCCACTAAAAAAAATCAGAGTTAGAAGTTACGTAACTGTAAGGTTCCTATAAATTGCTTCTTGTTGAAAGTTATATAAAACATTTTGAAATCTGTCATGTTCCACCTCTTCTGGATTTATTTTTAAAATTTTCTCACAGAGGTACATCTGCTCAGAGTACATTAAGGGTAAAGTTGCATCAAGAACACCACTCTTTAAGGTTAGGCTCTATTCTGCATTTAAAGTAGGTGTTTAATCTCTGTCTCAGGATGCCTCAGGATTAACCAAATCAGAGTATGTTGATTCCATGGCAGATAGAGGTACAGAGGAGTCTATCACCAACCACTGCTCACTACTCCCTGTTTGCTTGCTACTCTATACTTCTTGAAAAACACTGACTAAAAACAGCAGCTCTCCATTGCAAGGACAAACATAATGCATCTACCATTTGTCTTTAAGCACTCTTTTCTATCTAGAAAAATATCCGAGAGGAGAAAAACATCCTTTTTGAGTTAGAATCCTGGAATTAGCCGATCTGATTAATTGCTCCTCAGAGAGTGTGAATAAGGAGGCTTGAATGAGGAAAAGAGATGGGGGAGAAAAGACAGGAGTAGAGCTAAAGTGCTAAAGGAGTTAAAGAACTAACGGAGTAGAGTAAAGGAAGGCCCTTGCTGCAGTTAGCTTACCTTTCATGACATTTATACAGAAGCCTTTTCTCAGGAAGTTTGAACTGGTGGTTGGGGCATCATTGTTCATTTACTTGTATCCACAAAGGTAAATGATGGCAGTTTGAAATCCTCAACAATATGACTCTTGTGACTTTCTAGAACTTTGTCTGTCAAAGGAATAAAAAAAGGACAATTAAAAACATAAATTAATTGAAGAGCTACAGCTTTTAGATTAATAGAATCTTGTTTGAAACTGTCAAAAGAAGCCCTTGAGATATACGGAATTCCTCATTACAGACAAGAATTTCTTTAAAGGTAATTAAGAATTTCTAATTAACTAGCAAAGCAAGAGACACTTTTGAAATTTGAATGATGCACTTAATTGTACACTGTCATTCCTGGATAACATAAGAATCTATTTGACCATAATGAGATATTTATACTATACATAGCATATGGTATCAAGCCATTTCACAAATGCCACCCTTATCGGTTACCTTTTTATTGACCTAGGTAATCAACAAACAACAACAATAGAGAAGGTGGGATTCTTCATGAATGATATGGAGATGGAATGGAGAAGTCTATTTATGAAGTAACAGAAAGATTAGGAATAATGCCTTTGACGGAAAAGGAAGAGATTAGCAGTTGCACATCTCTGAAACTTCAACTAGTTATTTTGTACAAAGGCTTCTGAAAAACGAGGAAGAGCTAGGAAGCACATTGCTGTTAAGACACCTCTGAATGCCACAAATCATGGTATTGCCAAGAATATCTACTAACCGAGTTCAATACATAGCAAAGCAGACAGCAGGTAGGGTAGGAAAATCACAATGAAATGAGCCAGCTATCCATCACTGACCACCCAAGTTATTAAATCCACAGATGCTGCAAAGCATTTGATTAACTCAAGCTGTACATAAAAGGGATAGTTTGACGGCAATAATTCTGTCTTCTAAAGCATATCCCCGCTTCCACTTCTGAAAATCATTCCCCTTTTTCTCCAATCTATTCATTGCTCAATCTGTTACACATTCCACACTGACAGCAGCTGATTGCAGTGGATAAATTCCTATCTTTCATACTTTGTTCATTAGTTGGAATATTTCTTCCTTTGCTGATGACATACTCAGCACATTTCAAATAACTATATAATATAGAAATTTAGGCTTTTTGTTGGATTTTTAAAAATTGCTAGTAGTTACTGGAAAAAACAAAGAGATAGATTTGGATAAATGTTTAGCTGAAGCATCCAGTAACTCAAAGTAAAATAGGCTTTGATAAAAGAAGAATAATTATAGCATTTAAAAATCTTCCTAATCTATGGCAGTTTCCTGTTCTGGGTCCAACTCAGATAAGATGACATAAATAGAAACAATGTAAATATGAACAGAAAGTTAATGGAAACAGATCCACTATCAAGAGACATAAAGAAACTATAGCAATTCATACCAGAGAGAGAGAGAGAAGGCTCCAAAGATAGGGCCACAAATCACCTCCTTTCCCACATATAATATCCCTGAGGCAACTGCAACAGTTGCTTACATGGAAAAATATCATCAGAAAAGTACTAAATGTGTATTTATCTGTCTTTTACATGACACAGAGGCTTGAAAGAAGAATCCGGACCACGTGACCAGCTACCTCTCTAAACTATGACCAAGTGTTCCACAAACCATAGCCTGAGAAGCTCTCCAGTACTACATTCTGGGCTGCTTAATTTTACCCTCATAACCACTTTTGCTGATACAGATACAGGTATTATACATTTGGATTATCTATGTAAAAAACCCTGGCATTTCTTCTAGTAATGTTATCTTACAGCTACTGTCCCCTCTTTAAAAAATATATAACATTTTCTTTCACTGAAAAGTGTTAAAGAAACATCTATCAGGGATGATCTAGATCAGGGGTTTTCAAAGTTGGGTTGTGGGCCTGTCTAGGTAAACTGCTGGTGAGCCGCAAGATACTTTGTTTATCTAAGCATCCATAGCCATCCGTAGTTTATGCTACTTTCTGCATCTCCCCTTGGCTGGAAACAGCGAACCACAGCCAATGGGAGCTATGATGCTCCATAGCTACGGATGCTTTTATGAACAAAGTGTCTTGCGGTCCATCAGCAGCTTACCTAGGCAAGCCCGCGACCCAGCTTTGAAAACCCCTGATCTCAATGGTGCTTGGTCCTGCCATGAGTGCAGGGGACTGGACTTCATGATCTCCAAAGGTCCCTTCACTTCTAGTATTCTGTGATTCTATGATTATTACTGAACTTTCCATTGATACATAGATATATCTGTCATCTCCATACATTTTCACTTGTTCCAAAATAAAATAAAATAAAATAAAATAAAATAAAATAAAATAAAATAGGGAGTTATGTGAAAACTGTGTATGTGAATTTCTTCTGGTCAAGTGCTCAAGTGTCCCATTTCCATTAATATCAGAGGAAAAGATAGAGGATTTTTATTTATTTTTAATGGAAAACATGGCAGCATTGCACTGATTGCAAAAGTGCATTCCTAAAGGTTTTCTGAACAACCCAAAAATTGAGTTAACAGGAATTTTCAGTTAGTCACAAGTATTTCAGCTTGCTGCACATTTTTAGTAGTGAAACTGTCTGAAAGCACATCAGGAAAGTGAACTTGAACAGCAAAGATACTCCGAAAGAGTAAAACTTCAGCAAATAAATTTGAATTTCACTTTGGAGTTTTGTTCCGAACATAAGCTATAGTATCAAAATCATGAACAACAGACCCATAACAGCAATTCATGAGATAAAAGATTTTCCTATGGACATAAAGAGCTTAATGAAATCCTGGATCCACTGAAGCCAATAGCAAAATTGTCATCCACTCCAAATGGGTCAGATTTTCACACTTTATCTTTAAAAACAGTCCCCAATGAGATTTCATTCAGCACAAAAATATCTTGAGGAAAGCATTCCAATTTCCTCCAACAGACTGGGCCACATAGAGATTACTGAGGGGCCAGTAACTCTGCTCTGTAAATGAACATTTGTGGTTGGAAGGGGCAGGAATTCCTGCCTCTTGATTCTCTGGATAGCAGTTGGAGCTCCTGATCTCTCTGGAGCACAGAGATTATTCCCTCCATGCACCTTCTGGAGACCAAAAGCCTCAAAGGGAAAGATTTGGTCATGTTACTGCCTTTTCCACAATTCACCCAGCTGAGCTAGCCAGTTGTTATGAGAGAGGTCTTCAGAAGATGCTTCATTCCTTAATTCCTTCTGGGATGGGAGGACTCTGCATAACTCATAGCTCCAGGTTCTGCCTAAATGGGACAACAGAGGCTGATGTAATTCCTTAAATTAACAATGTGGCTTTCCTGCAGTCAGTGACAGATGCAGCAAGAATTACAGCATGGCCATTGATGGAATCTGCATTAAAAGGGCACAGAAATAACCACACCCCAATATATGGCACTGCACAAATGTACTGTCAGGGCAGCACGCACATACTTCTTTAAATCACACAGCTATCAGTTATTTTCAGATGTCTGGGGGATTTACGAACTTTTGCAGAAAAATTCTGAATATGCAAAGCAAGCACCTTAGTGTGAGACAAGTGAAAACTCAACTCAGGGTTATCTAGCACTTGTCTTAATTTTATTCTTACAGAAAATGTGTTATGAAAGTTTCAGTAAAAACAAAGCTCTGAATTCAAGTTCTGTTTTGCATACTGAATAACAGAAAAGCAATCTATTTGAGTGGCATACCGTATAGCTGTAGTTATTTTTCACTTCTTGATTCCATTTCTCTCACTAAATCAGACACTATAAAGATATGAATCTCCATCATAATACTAGAATCAGAACTTAAAACCATATGAACGAAGTCAAAAGTCAGTGGGAGGCAGGGGTAGATCTGTGATAAAACAGATTATCTAATCGCATAACATTACATAAAGATCATACAGAAAGCCTACTTTGAACATATTTGTAACTACTTGGTGGTAAATAATTTGTTAGTTTATGACTCTCAAACTGGCAAACTTGAAAACATCAAGGCCGTTCTGCAAATGTTTTAACAAGAACAAATAGGGAGAGGTGAAGACCTACCACACACAATGTACATTTTCAATATTAAATATGATGAATATACTTGTGCCATGGTATCAGTTTATGCATAAATTTGAGACAGGGTCTTCATTTGGATATGTATGTCTACATGCACACTTGGGTAGAGTTTGATACAAAACGCTACCAAATCAGATTAGTAGTATCTGACACCTCTTTGCACAGGTGTAAATGACTAAACAAGAGGCAAAGCAGTAGAGAATCATCCCCTAGTGTATATCTGTACTCTGCGAAGGACACAGTTCATATCATAACCCGGGACAGCACAGTAGCAATTATATCATTGTGAGTTTGAGAGTTAAGTTTCTGTAGTGTTTAAATGCTCTTTGATATCCACACTTTAATATCTACTGTTCTTTTTGCCCATATTCTCATAGCACATCATACAAACTTAAAGAGCTGTTTCCAGTTAATTCCATTCTGTGCAACACTGCTTCCACTGTGTTTATGGCTACTTTCCAAAGAGCATTTGGAGCTCTCTTCCTAGCAAACAAGGTCCCACACCAATAAACTCCATCTAAGCAGACCCCTGAGCCTGCGTGGAACCCTATTAACATCAGTGGATATACATCATTATAGAGCTCGTGACAATAGAAGAGCTGAGACAGTATTTCATTCGCAATTGAGAGTCAGTGTCAAAACATAATTCAGAAAAAGTTAACAGTGACAAGACTTATGTAGGCACAACAATTCCGACCCACCTGAAAATGTCACAAGTTGATTGACAAAAATCTATGCAAGGATCACATCTCCTGCCATTGAAATGCAGCTTTCCTGTAAGGTGCCAGGCAGCAGCCATTTATTAACAAGCAACTAGTAGTAAAGAGTACTTAGGAGAAATGCAGGCATATGGAATTTGACTGAGGCCAAGAAGTAAGGGGCCTCCTATTATTGGAATTGTTATGCAATGACCATAAGTGAACAGGAAATCGATTTTATGGCTCACACAGGTAATAGCTGTTGCTGCTCCAGCAATATAACGTCCTTAACATCTATCTTGGGAATGGTTCAGTAGTGATTCAGAGGAAAGAATACTGCAGGCTGAATCACCAATACAGTTACCTGCAGCATTTGG